TGTTTTTTTTTGGAAATTCCAATAAAAAAAAATTTGAAGATCCAAAAATCTTTAAAATCTAAGAAATTTATTATGAGCTGAACTTATCGTAGTAAAAAAAATAAAAAATTGTTAAATGCAATTTTTTTATAAGTATTTAAAGTTTATATTCATGTTTACCATGTCAAAATCGTGAAAAAAAGGTTAAAAAAGCCTATGCAAGATTAACTTTTTCTTCAAATAACCGTAAAAAAAAAAACACCTGAGTCAATATAGAAAACATTTTGTGAGTGTATAAAATAAGTGTATTTAAATATTACGCACGTATAAAATATATTATGATTTAAATATAGGTAATAAAACATATCCTAGATATCCAAATCATCTTCATTTAGAATCGTTTTTCGTATACAATGATACCTATCATCGCATTCAAATTTAACACATCCATTAATCCATTATAGTGACCTACTCTCCATATCTACTGTACAGCAGAGCTATACTCACTTGCCCACTTTTTTCCTTTTTTCACTACTAACTACTGAGTTAATCAACACAGAGTTTTAAATAGCTATTATTATGTACACTGTGGGACTAAGGCTTAATCCTTAATCTCAACCATTAATTATTATTTTTGGACTTTTTTGACAAATGATTAGGATTACAAAACAAAATGTCTTCCATCACAGATTATATATAACATTATATAAAATGTATCAATTTTTTTTTGAAGTAGATTATTCATTACATAAATTTATATAAATATGTAATCCTAAACTGAGGATTAGTACCAAAAAAGGAACAATATTATGTAAATATTTTAAATAAATAAAATAATTTATACTTTCTATTTATTAATACTCTTTTTAAAATTAGTTGACATTAAGAGGATCCATGGAAATAAGTTATCTTAAATAAACATATAATTCATTTAAACATTATAAGGAGTATAAATAACACAAAAATGAGTTTATTGCTTTGAAAATCACATATAAAATATCATTATATAAGCTAAATATTTTAAACAAGGTGATTTTTTTTAAACTAAAAACCCTTGTTAAGATCTAATTATTTTAGTAGGTTTAATGTTTATTTGAAAAATTTAAATCAAGTTCTTTTTTWTATAGTAATCTATATTAATTTTTAAGTTCATATTTTGAAACATGATTTTCTTGAAGAGTTCAATTTATGAATACAACATACTCAATATTTGATGTTTTTTTTTTATTGTTTATTCAATTAATGAATGAA